CATCCCCCCCTGTCCGCCCAAAAAGGAACCAAAACACAGACATAAAAATTGAAATCCCAGTTAGTTTTGCATGATTTGGATTGTTAAGAAATGTCTTGGAACTAGTTTCTAAGAAAGTAGGCAGGATTTTATTGGCAATCATATTCCTCCCTATATAAAATTATTGTTAGCGATCATGAGTTGACTGCTATTTAAGGATTTAGGACTACAGGCGCATAAGAAGGGACCATCTTATTCTACGTGGGCAAGAAGGCTCAAACAGCATCTAGAAATTAATAACCACTTCAAAAGATCAAGTCTCCACTGTTAACTCTTAGGGTCTGGTTGCTAAACATCCATTTATTTTTCTAAAGGGATTCTAGCTTTGGGAAGAAGATAATGCTTATTAGATGGTGAGGCTCGTGAATTTGTGATGTGGCCTACCCTTATGGTTAATTAGCACGCGCACATGCACACAAGCGCAAGCCCTTTGCTTCTTGATAGAAAAGAACCCGAGAGAAACTAGCGAAGACCTTAATAGATTGGATCACCCATTTCTAAGATGCTCTCCCAACTTCACAAGTTCAAGGAAGCATTATGCACATCAGAACCATCTGTTATTGCTGTTGAGGATAGCACAAGATTTCATGTAATCACAGAAAGCACGTATATAAAAAGTCAAGTTATCTCTTGCCTTCATTCATGCTGGAGTGTTTTGTTTTGTTTTGTTTTTGATCAAGACACTAGTCACCGTTCTCCCTAATGAAGATAACTTCTAAAATGCACATGCCAAGTTGCAGTTCAGGGCCTCAAACATTAGAAAATGACACACATCAAGTAAAATACTCTTCGTATGACAGGAAAATCACATAAACAATGGAATGATGATTCCCTTGTAACAAGCAGATAGAAGCACCCGGTCTCCACTTACAAAATCAATTAAATCTATTTTGCCCAAATATTTACTGGCTACCTAATGGAATCAGGCACAATTCCCAAAGCAAGCTTTCTCTCTGGATCAGGGTTGTCCAACCTTGGCAACTTTTAAGACTTGTGGACTTCAGCTCAACCAAATTCTGGACATTGAAGTTCATGGGTCTTAAAGATGCCACAGTTGAATACCCCTGTCTTAAGTTTGCTGTTGCTGGTTATCACCGTTACCAAATGGGCATATTGGAGTTACTGGAAATGTCACATAATTAATTCAAAGAGCAAGGATGCACAGCTTGAAGAGAGGTCAAAAGACAGCAGAGAATGGAATAAAGATAGAATGATCTCTTAAATAATAATAAAAAATTGAGGAATACCAATTACAGCCTATAAAACGGAAATTAATAGATCATCAAAGGAAAAGATAGCTACAGATATGAAACCAAGAGGTAAAATCAAAGCAAGAACTACAGTTGCCAATTAATAGTTGTTTGGAAGGCTTTGTTTGATCTAAAGTTTCTGACTTTGAATCTCCCCGGAGTAACCAGAAGAAATAGCAAGAGAAAGAACTCAATGAAGGTTCCCTGCTAAAATAGTTACTGCTACCCTTCTTCCTGACATGGCGTAAATTAAAATAGTCCTCTTTGCTGCTTAATTATGTTGGGTATGAAAACCAACTCCAGTGTGAATCCACCCAGTGGCCATATTGGATTAGTCAGTAGTTGGCCAAATAAAACATGCTATATTGTCCATTTATTTCTCCATCCCATTCCTATATCTACAACAGAACCCCAAGTTTCCGTCTGAAAAACAAGAACTTTCTCAAGATGTGCCTTCTTCAGACCAAGAGCCTGTAAATAGGGGGGAAATATGATTTTTCTTTCCACATGCTTCATGCAAAGCCCTTTCCTGGACGAGTCTCTGGATTCAATTCCCAAAAGGGGCTCAGAAGTGAGAACAATGAACCTGTCAACCACTCTTTTAGAGCAGGGATGCCTTGGTCATGGGTAGCTGCAGAAGATGTTCACATCCCTCCAGAAAAAGATGTGGCTGTTTTAAAGAGTTGCCAACAAGTGTTACTTTCGTATTTTTAGCTGCTTCAAAAGTAGCTTTTCCAAATTATTTCTAGAGCACTGCATTGTCCTAATTAAAACAGATCCAATTAATACTTAGTTCCCAATAAAGTAATCCTTTTTATTGCCACCTATAACCTTCAAGGAGCTACATCTAAACACAGAGACTGACTTGCCTAAATCCATACCTATATTTTATGGGGGAATTAAACCAGTTTCTCGTCTCACTGAAAAATTCAGCTTACTCAATACCAGTAGGATTCATTAAGAATTTGAACAACGAACATAAAACATCTACTGTTAGATACAACTTTAGTTATTTGGAATAACTTCGATTTGTCCTGTGGTGAGTATAAGACTATGAGGATTATGTCTGCTTGATAGAGTCATAACGTCCTGAAAAAAACAAAAAATTAAGAGAGATTTCTTTGAAATATACGCACTTGCCCTCTATGTAAGAAACACATCCTGAGTTCTTACTCATGTGGAAGGATGTCCTTGGGATAAAGAACATTCTTCAAGTTGGATAAACGGAGCAGATACACATTAGCAGAAGATCAAATACTTCCAAACACATAACTGATGGAACTGCAGCAGCGGTTCAATTGAAATTGGCTCTAAGATGGTTCCTTATGCTTCATTCTTCACCTGTCGAGTTTTTTAAAATTTTAATACACCACACACAATTTGGTAAGTGCCTTCCATGTGGTCTAAAATACAAGCATGGATTTGTGTAGGTGTGAGAGGTCTGTCCTTGCTTCGGTGTGATTTAAATTAAAAGCTTCGGCCCTTGCAGGAACACAACAGCACTTTAATTACTACCTAAAGCAGCCACCGATATTTGAGAAGCTTCCAGGGTGCCTTAAGGAGTCAGTTCATTAAAGCAGCCCTAAAAAACTCTTCCTTCAGGGCCATTTGAGGACGAGCAAGGGATGCTACACTCACATGAGTTCCAAAGCACTTTTCTCCAAATCGATTTAGAATCACCAAAAAACCCCAAAAATTGAAGTATGTATTTGCATTGCGGAAGATCTATGCTGCCTCTGTGTACACACTTTTTATTAAATTATTATAGATCCTACTGTTATTTAGCGAAGATCAATCAACACTAATGGTTGGTGCCAGGCCAACCTCTCCCCCACTCTCCCCCTGACAAGAAAGCATCTGATCACAAAACGAGAAGAAAATACCTCTTCCTCCTCCTACAGAAAGATTGCTATTGGGAATTCAATATACCATATTTTTCGGAGTATAAGACACACTCCCCCACTAAAAGAGAGTGAAAATTTGGGTGTGTCTTATACTCCGAAGGTAGCACTGCCCACCTGCCCCCACCCTTCGGCTTCCACGTGTCGCGTTATAGACCTGTTCCAAGCTGCAGGGACTGCCATAGATCATCGCCCCATCCATGGCTTGTATTTTTGGCCTCTGCGCCTTGATTTTTCAGCCTTTGAACACTCTGTTTGAGAACCGTTCAAGGCTGCGGGGATCGCCAGAGCACATCGCCGCCAATCGCTGCCTCCGCACGCCATGTTTTTCGCCTCTTCGTGTTGCGTTTTTGGCGGTAATGTGCTTTGGTGATCCCCGCAGTCTTGAACGGGTCTCGAACGGGTCTTGAACGGAGCATTTGAAGGCTGAAAACGCAAGGCACTGAGGCAAAAATTGGCAACTGCTGCCTTGTCTGACGGCTTCCGCGCTTCGCCTGCTTTACTCCCTGGCGCTCCCTCCGACGACCAGTGTTTTTGAAGCTGCGTATCAGCCCAAATGCGCGCTTATGCTCACAACCAGCGAACTGTGCTGAAGCTGACCAGGCTGTTTGCTAAGGGAGCTAGCCAGATGAATACCGAAGGATGCTGGTAGGCAGAGGTAGATATTTTTTTTCTTATTTTCCTCCCCAAAAACTAAGCAATTTATACTGCAAAAAATACGGTATGCACCTTGTCCATCTCAGAAAAGAAAACACAAATATATTTTAGGAACATTTAACACGCTACTATGGCAAGGGAAATGAAAAGTTTTTCTCTCTCACTGGGTGACATAAATTGAAAATTACTTTGAAATGCAAATACAAAAGCCGCCTGCAAGACTTTTTTCCCCCCAGAATTAAGCAGCACGTTAATTATTTTCGCTCCAAAAATCCCTACAGAGCCAAAATTTATATTGGACATTGCATTATTTGTGAACTTTCCTCTATATGTCAATTGGGGGTGGGGGGATGACAGCCCAATGGAAGGAAGAACCATTTAATCAGCTCCTTCATTGAACTAGAGAAACTAGAGGAAGCTTTTATGTTATGTATCTCTGGGTAAGGATGGGTAAGGACACCTAAATTCTTTTCCTTGAAGCATCATCGGCTTTCATGACTTAAAACACTAAAGGAAAAGCAAAAAAAAAAAAAAATTACAACAGCACGTACATATTAAGTGAGCCAGCAAGGATACCTCAATCTCTTATTAAGTGGAAGTGTGAACGTTTTAAGAAACAAATAAAAATATAATAATAATGCAATGGTTGCACCGAGGAGACGCACGTGCATAGGGGCAGCCCCCATGCACCAACAAAGTCTGTGAGAAGCACCTGATGACGGATTATCAGATGGGAGGCCAATGAAATTATTCTGCCGTTTCTCGAGTGATTTTGTTCCTGCCACATCGTCTATTATAATGCCATCATTGAAGAAGGAAACAAAACTAAGCTCAGAAGTCTGCAGGTAGTTAACCTACTCAAGAAGACATCTGGATGAGGAAACCATTCCATGTTGATGTTAACACCTGGAGACCATCCGAAGGGATGCTACCGTGTTTCCCCGAAAATAAGACAAGATCTTATTTTCTTTTGACCCCCGAAATAAGCGCTTGGCCTTATTTTCGGGGAGGTCTTATTCTTTTTGAGGTGCAGGAGGCAGTGAGCGTGGTCACCTCATGGCTGTTGCAATATTTTCAGGGAGGGCTTATTTAAGCGCATGTGCTCAAAGGCCCAATTGGGCTTATTATCCAGTGAGGTCTTATTTTGGGGGAAACAGGGTATAAAAATACAAGGGCAGCAGAAAAAAAAGAAGGAAAAAAACCCAGATGTGAGGGTATTTCTGCGTTTTGGCACCTGTTGTATCTTAGATAATCCTAGTTCTCAAGTATGTTGTTCCTAATAACATGAATGTAGGTGTTAAAACATCTCACATCTTCGATTTGCTACATTATGTACAAGGTACCACCCACCCTCCCTTTTAAAACATAAATTAAACATTAAAAACCAACCCGGGAGGGGGAGGAAAGAGGGAACAAAGCATATCAGGAGATCCGCATGGGGATATATTTCAGTATCAATCACAAATTCATGAACATTTGGCCTGCGTGGGTGGGTGGGGGTGGGGAGATCAAAAGCAATCCGGATCCTGCGCACAACAGAGAAAACTGTAAACATTTTATAGCTGCCTTTTAGGATCTTGTGTATTGTGCAAAAAGTTATTATGAGAAGTAAGGAAGTTCATGGCAGACCATGTTTTTTAAAAAAATTCTTGGTAAGAAGGTGCTGCTTCTATAACACACACACACACACACACACACACACAAAGGGGGGGGGGAGAAAGAAAGCAACAAGGAGAGACTTCGTAAGCACAAGTCCTGTGACCAACTCAAAGAGGTTTAGTGTGATTTTTTTTTAAAAAAAAGCATTTCTGCAGGTAATAGGATGTGCAAAGAAGACTTTCATAGCCCGCATTGGCCAGAAAGCAGAAGTCTCCAAACACATGAAAACCATATGAAAAAGCACCAGGGGGAGGTGAGGGTTTGGGAATCAACTGTTTCCCTCCCCCACAATTTGCTTAGCTGATTTTCTGGCGTGAAATCCCTGCAATTAAAAAGCCTTGGAAGTCCTAACCCCACTCTGCAGGTCTTTCTCCTCCACTGCCCACACCGCCAATACCCCGCCACCGCCGCCGCCCCCACCACCGCTGTGTCGAGGTCAATAATTCCATCCCATGAGATGGCTAACCCTGGCTTTCTCGGTCATTTTCCGTACCCTGCCCGACCTGGAAGTGCCAAGGTTCAGGGGATCCTCGGTATGCACGAAAGTGTCATTGTCCGAATCGTCATTGTACAAAACGGTCCGCCGGCCTTCGTTCCGGGTTTTAATCCGGGGAGGGCGGCCGAAACGCCCGCTAAAGGCGTTCTCGTTGAAGCGTCCGCCGAAAAGATTCTCGAACTCGTCCTCAGCCATGCGGGGGCGCTTGGCCCGTGAGGCTCCTCTCCCTCGGCCTCGTCTTCCTCCTCGGCCTCCTCTTCGTCCCTGGCTGCATCCTCTTCCTCCCCGGCCCCCTCGGCCCCCTCGGTTCCACCGCCCCCACCGGCCCCAGCGCCCTCGCCTTCCGGTCCCCCTGCCCTGCCAATTTTTTCTCCTCCTGCTGGGAAGGTTCCTCCGGATCTTCCTTTTCGGCTTCACTTGTACGGATTTGCTGTAGTCGTGGTCTCCATCGATGTAGTCTTGATCTGTCCTAGAGCTGGAGTCCGAATCTGAGTCGGAGCCAGCTCTGCTTTCGGAACTGGAACCCGAATGGGAGTCTCCGCTTTCGGACGATAAATCGGCCTTATCTTTTGGTTCCCTCGTCTCTTGGCTGCCCTCGTCTTCCTCTTCGGAGGCACTGGAAATCTTTCTCTTGACTCCTGTCCGAGATTCCTTCCCATCCCCGTTCGTCAGAGGCTTTTCAGAAGGCTGATCTAGAGAGATCCAAATCGACCCACATGTGAATACTAACATCGAGTTATCACCAGCCAAGTAGCACGTTGGTGAGAAAACCCCAAACTAGGTGAACAATTTTACTTAATAAGTTTGCTAACCAGTAAATCACAAGTTGCCTGAATACATCACCCCACAATGTATATTGAGGTAGAGAAAAACTAACCTGGAATATCTCTGCAACAGTGGAATGCTGCATTTTTTATAGGAATGCAACATGATGCAACCATTGCAGGTCATTTCACATGCTTAGCATCAACGTAGCATGCCATTTCTAGACTCATATTCTTGGGGCTGCTGTTGTGGGCCCGCCAGCGGCCAGCAGAGCTGGCAGCAGAGTCGGACAGTGAGGAGGTTGGGGAGGAAATTGGGCCAGTTCTGGAGTCTGGGGAAAACTCAGACAAGGGTTCTGCATCAGAGGCAGAGAGGGGGCCAAGGCCATCTGGCAGTTCTCAGCTGCCTTTGGAACTAGACAGCAGTGAGGCAGAGGAACAGCTGGAGCCTGTTCTCAGTGTGCGCATGCACAGAGCTGCCAGAAGAAAAGAACAGCTAAGAAATCAGGGTCGACTTGGGAGTAAAGCCATAGGTGGACCGTGAATGGCCCCTCCCATAGGAAATAAAAGAGGAGCGAAAGGAGAGTGGGCTTTTGCAGGAAACAATTTGTTCGTTTGTTCATTCATTTCAGGAGTGTGAAGATTTGTCCGTGAATCTGAAAGACTCTGTGACAAGTCTTTCCTTACACAGCGCTGTGTNGGTAGGTAGGTAGGTAGGTACAGTGAGGCAAAAAAGTATTTAGTGAGCCAATAATTGTGCAAGTTCTGTAATTGACTCTCATAGTTGAGGTCCACCTATGATGTCAATTACAGGCCTCTCTCATCTTTTTAAGTGGGAGAACTTGCACAATTGGTGGCTGACTAAATACTTTTTTGCCTCACTGTACCTACCTACCTACCTACTCTCTCTCCCTCCCTTACTGTATTTCTCTCTCTCTCTCTCTTTATCCCTCTATCTACCTACCTACTCTCTCTCCCTACACACCTACTAAATTTCTCTCTCTCTCTCCCTCCCTACTTTTTTTTTAAAAAATTGCCTCTTCAAAACCTTGGTGTGTCTTATACTCCGGTGCGTCTTATACTCCGAAATATACGGTGTCTGTGTGTGTCTGTGTGTTTACAGTATATGTATATGTATACGCAGCTATGTATCTATGAATCTATGTGTATAAGTAAAAGGCAAGAATTTACTTTTTCTTTTTTTTCAGAACCTAGCCAGGGTGGATCCTACATATTAAATGTTACATTTATTTGATCACTTTTTCCTCTCTTTTTCGGTACTATTTTTTTCTGTTTGTTGTTGTTAGGGTAGAATGTATGCTTTTGTTTTGTTTGTTTTTCTGTTTTGTATTTTACTTTTTATGATAAAAAAATAAATAATATTTCCAAGTCAATGTACCTCCTAAATGTTTAATTGTATTATGCAAAACTAGTGTTTTAAATATCTGTTTCCTAAGTGGAAAAAATTCTGATTTATCTTGGTGAAGGAAAATGATGTTTCAAAATCTCCTGGAGGATATTTTTCAATTGATGGAATAATTTTTCCTCTAAGAATTTCTGGGCAGGGCATTTGTTGCTCATCAATGCTAGAATGCCCAATGTCTCTTTTTCTTATATTAATTTTATTCTATTTTAAATAAAATAATTAGAAAACTGGTATGGTGCAATGCTGGCTACCAGGTTCTTTATTTAAATTTAAATTCAAATTGGCCTCATGGTATTCTTAGAAACTAGTTTGTCATGATGAGACGCTAAAGCTTTTTCTACTTTTTCAAAAAGAGACAAAAATAATAGCATGCAACCTGAGAAGATAGAAGGCACACATTTTCACCAGTTTGCCGTCTGGTATACTTGCCATTTTCACCATTTTATGAATACACAAGTTACTCTTTTACAGCAACCATATTTTAAAATATGTAAACTCTGAAAATAACATATGTGTTCATCTCCCCACAAAGATCATCAATCATCTGAGCTTTAACTTTAGAGCAATTTTAGAAGCAAGTTCTATTAACTGGATTCTAGTACCAAATCAGACTAACCTGTAGAAACGATTCGTCAGTCTCAGCTGAATAGTCCAAAGATCTGTTGGATAAGCTACTACTGTACTGTATTTTGGATATGTATAGAGATCAACTGGACCAGCAAAAGCTGCTGAAATATCTGTTAAAATAATAGTTTTAGTTGAAACAACTAAATGCATTGTCAGTAAATAATGGAGTATATAGTAAATTGCAAATTAAATTTATTTTACAAAATCTGTACTGCTTACAACATCCAAGCAACCAAATTCAGTATAAAACACTATATATGTCTTTATATTTATCAAAACACAGCCATCAAATCTTTAAAACCTTACCAAGTCTCAAAAGTTGTTGAATTCCAGAAATAATTCGTTCACACTCTTCACTCTGCGAATTCCCCTGCCATTCTCCCTTTTGAGGTTTATACAGTAGTTTTGCCATCTCTTCAGCAGTTACAGAAACACTTGCTCCCAGTTCTTTAGGCTGATCAACTAATTTAAAAAAAAACAGAGGAAAAGGAGAACAAAAATCAAATGTAGTAAGGTTAGCAATTCATTTTATGCAAGCTTTTATGTCAGAAATTAGTGTCACACACAAATAATCAGGATCATTCATGAAGATGCAGCATCAAAGATTTATTCAAACCTATACACAAGAATCTATCCAACTAATAGTCAGTGTTAAATTGGCACTAGAAAAAAATGAACGGAAATCACAGGGGCTTGGATCTGTTATAGCAACACAAGGACTCTAATCTGGTGAAACCTTTATCTCCACACACAAACACAACCCTGGCTGATCTTTTTCTACAGTTAGTGGTGTTTTAGCAACAAAGTCGTTCCAAATTTTGCTTTCTAAATATTTTATCTTCAGAATTTTCCATGCTAATTTTTTTAGGACTAGGAATGGAAGTATTTACAGAGTTAAGTATCTTCTTTTATTTATTTATTTATTTATTTGTATGTATGTGTGCGTGCACAAACCATGTTTTCCCGAAAATAAGACTGGGTCTTATTTTCTTCTGGTGCCTAAAATAAGCACTTATTTTTTCCCATGTACAGGAGGCCCACTTCTGCTTGCTTGTGGCAGGGCAGGAGGCCACGTGGTGTATTGCCACTGCCACAAGGCAGGGTGTGCAGGGGCATACCTCAGGGCCCCCATAGCCAGGCCACCCACACCCCAACACCTGCCTTGCCTTGCCTAGCTCTAAAAGGATGCCACCGGAGGGGGGGGGGAAGAAAAAAATAATTCTGTCTCTGCCTACCAGCACCAGGAAAGAGGTGAGTCTGCGGAGAAGGAGGGCTCTGCATGCTGTAAGATCGGTGTCACTTGGAACCTGCCGAAAACGCCACCCTGTGTTTTCATGAAGGCAAGTGGCTCTGTGAATTGCATTGGGAATTGGGCCAACAGGCGGCGGTGGCTGGAAAGGAGGGACATTTCACTTTCAGGGCTGCCGCTTGGCTCAGCTCATGGGCACAGATAGGGCTTAAGCGGTGGCTCCACACATTGCTGGGGAGTGAAGTGCCCAAAACGAGCATTGCTTTTTTGGTCTCCGTACACTGGGAGATCGGTGGCAGCAGCAGTTAGGGTGCTGCTTGGAACCTGCCAAAAACCGTCACCCGAAAAGCACAGCTTTCTTTCCCAGTTACTCAGAGGCTTTGGTTTAAGGTGGCATTGCCTTACATTGCTCTCCTCCTGCAAGTGAGAGGTGTCTAAGAGGCTTGGCTGGAGCAATAAAGGGCCAATTTGAACTGCCAGCTACCCGTGTTATCTCTGGGCCGTGCTCCAGGTTATCACATCGGCTTACCTCAGGGCTCCTGCAGCCAGGCCATCCATCCCCTGACATTTGCCTCACCTCGCAGCTGCAGCACTAGCAGTAGCACATCTGTAGCGGCCGCAAGCAAGCAGAAGAAGTGGGCCAGTGGCTACTTGGGTTCCTCCTGCACATGGCTGTTGATGCTGCCATTGCGAAGGCAGGTGCCAGGGCATAGATGGCCTGGTTATGGGGGCACTAAGGAAAGCCGTTGCAGGGTGTGTTGGGCAGCTCCACCCTCCCACCTCACCTCGTGGCTGCGACACAAGTGAGCAACCAAATGGAATGAGTGCCTGGCTGATTGGCTGCACAGGCTCATATAACAGCTGCAATGAAATTCTTTTTTGTTTCAATTCTTTTTCTACCAGCTGCTTTTGTTCTCCTAGAAAAATGATTTAAATGCCTATGTATTTTCTCTATCCAAAGGAAAGTGACAAAAGGAATGGTTTTGAGTATATATTATTAGGCAAGTTGTATTTTGGAGGATTAATTTTATTATTGAACAACTACAGTGCTCTTGGTCAATCCAAAATGTTAATAAACCTTAAACATGAATATTTAAGAAATAAATGTGTGTTTTTGGGTTTCTTAGGAGAATATCTATGTGTACACAATTATTGAACAACTACTAGTGTGCAGAATTATTATGCAACTAAATGAAAAATAAAAATTTGGTCATCCCATTTATTTGCATTTGTTAAAGTGAGAATAATAAATAAAATGTACAAATAAATATTTCTGATATTTTAAAAAAAACCAATGACCAATAGAGCCACTCTTCTTTTAAATAACAATCATAAGCCTTCCATTCATGTCAGTTTCTTGATCTCTTGATGATCAACTTTTTGTGCAGCAGCAACCACAGCCTTCCAGACACTGTTCAAAGAGATGTACTGTTTTCCTTCACTGTGGATCTCCCATTTAAGAAGGGCCCACAAGTTCTCAATAGGGTTTAGGTCAGGTGAGGAAGGGAGCCATGTCATTATTCTTTCAGCTTTAAGGCCTTTACTGGCTAACCATGCAGTTGAGTACTTCGATCCATGTGATGGACAATTGGTCTCCATAAAAATCATGGTCTTTTTGAAAGATGCAATGTCTTCCTGTACACAGTCCTTCCTGGACTGTGCAGTACACATAAAGGAAGACAGACGCCTTAACATTGAAGTTTACAGAAAACTCTCACACACAGATCAATATTTACATTTTGATTCCCACCATCCACTGGAGCACAAAATGGGAGTCATCAGAACCCTACACCACTGAGATAAAGGCCTGCCTATGAGCAAAGATGGGAAAGAAACACATCAAGGAAGTCCTCAGAACATGTGGCTATCCCAAGTGGGCCTTCATCAAATTCAAAAAAGACTCTACAGGAGCTCCTCCATAACAGACAATGAAGAGAATAATAAACGAAACAACATTGTTATTCCATACATTGCAGGAATATTGGAAAAGCTCAGGAGGATCTTCAGCCAACACAACATATGTGCACACTTCAAACCCAAGAATACACTATGGCAGAACATTGTCCACCCCAAGGGTAAAAACACCCAGATACAAACTGAGCAATGTGGTATATGAAGTACAATGCAATGAACCATGCGCAGATCTGTATGTTGGGGAAACAAAACAACCACTTCATAAACACCCGATACAACATAGGAGAACAAACCCATCAGGACTAGATTCAGCAGTTCTTCTGCATTTTAAAAAAACAAAGGCTACTCTTTTGAAGATAGCAAAGTCCACATTTTGGACAGAGAAGACTGCTGGTTTGAAAGAGGTGTCAAAGAGGCCCATCTATATCAAAATTGAATAGCCCTCTTTCAACAGAGATGGAGGGATACAACATCATCTATCTCCAGTCTACAACACAGTCCTTTCAAAAGCTCCGAGAAGGCTACACACCCATTTGCACCACTCAGGTGACCCTGATAACACAGATAAACCTCCAGGTTGCCTAAAAGACTCACTAAAGGAATGCAAATGACCAGTTGTCTGCAAGGAGCATAAATCGTTTGATTCCCCACCATTCTGTCAGAGCGGAAGAAGCTTCTTGGATGAGAAGCTAAACATCTTCAAGGACAAACCAAAAAGTTCAGTTGCCTCTTGTAAAAGCACCTCTGAGACAACCACAACCTGGATGACTGAAAATGGATGACATAGACGTTAAAAAAAGTATCTTCTAAAAACTGGCAGTAGGTTTGGAAGTTGATTTTGAGTCCATCTTGAACCCGAAAAGGTCCAAGAGGGCTTAAACCGACCCTATGAGCAAACCGGAAGTCCGTTCCTGAACTTCTGGTTTGCCCATAGAGCTGGGTTTTTGAGCTCCGGAGGCTTCAGGAGTTTCCCTTGGGAGGGGGAGGCTCTTTTTGCCCTCCCCAGGCTCCTATAAATCCTCTGGAGCCTGAGGAGGGCAAAAAATGGCTTTAAATTAGGCTGAACTGGCAGGTCAACACCTTGCGTGCCCTGACAAATGGGTCCGTGTGCCACAGGTTCGCCATCCCGGGCCTTTACCATTATCCCATCTCCATCTTGCTGGTATCTGCATTGAAGTGGAGCTCTGGGCCCATTATTGATCCAGCCACAAGCCCATCCATCTGGTCCATCAAAAGTCACTCTCATCTCATCAGTCGATAAAATCTTTGAAAAATCTGTTTTCAGGTATTTCTTGGCTCAGTCTTGCCGTTTCAACTTATGTGTCTTGTTCAGTGGTGGTCAGGTTTCAGCCTTCTTTACCTTGGCCATGACTCTGAGCACTAAACATCTTGTACTTCTGGGCACTCCAGGTAGGTTGCAGTTTTGGCACATGACAGCACTGGCGGTGGCACAGTGGTTAAATGCAGCACTGCAGGCTACTTCAGCTGACTGCAGTTCTGCAGTTCGGCTGTTCAAATCTCACTGGCTCAAGGTTGACT